AGCCCGGATGGACGAGGCAGACATCGGAGATGGAACCGTCATCCCGTCCTTTCCTTAAGACACTGGACCCATAAAGTAATCTAATGGATACTGAAGTTCGCATCCCCGACCGGCCTGGCTGATGATCTCCCGATGGTGGACGACACCCATCAAATACACCCAGACCAGCGACGCTGTCGGCATCCTGCGCACCACTTTTGCTGAGGAACCACGAGTTATTGCCGGCATGCCCCATCTCTACGAACACATCGACAAAGAACTCGCGCCAACGTGGTTCTACCTCTCCTCCTCACCGTACAATCTCTACCCCTTCCTCCGATCCTTCCTCAGCCAAGAGTATCCCCCCGGAACACTCATCCTGCGCAACCACTCCTGGATGGACCTGAGCGGGCTCCTGAAATCGTTCACGAAGGGGACTCGAGCGTATAAAGTCGATCGCATGGAGAAGCTGTACCGCTGGTTCCCAAAGCGCAGGGTCATCTGCATCGGCGACTCGACGCAGAGTGACCCGGAGGCGTATGCAGAGATATATCGCAGACATAAACAGTGGGTGCGCGCCATATATATCCGGCGAGTCACTGACGTGGCGAATATGGAGGAGAAGAACAAGGAGAAGCGCTTTCTTAAAGCGTTTGAGGGCGTGCCGGATGATGTGTGGAGGGTTTTCGATGATCCGGTGCACCTCTACCGAGAGGTTGATATGTTGCAGCGGGAGGACTAAGTGGGGACTCGGCTCGGATTTTTTTTTTTTTTATCCTTTTTTTCCTCCTTCGTGTTATTCTTCTGCCTTTAAATGGTTTTATGGCTGGTCCTAGTCCATTGGGATTGGGGTTGGGAGGCAATGGTCATGATGGGGGCGTTTTTGTTCGATTTCCTTTTCCTTTTTCTTTGTTTTTGTTCCCCCGCTTTTTATTTTACATCGGTTCCTCCTCTTGTCTCTTTTTGTCGAAATGCTTGATGCTTTTCTCTCTTTCGCTTATTTCGTCGTTCCGGTTTTAACGTTTCTCTCTGAGTCTGTGTATATACCCCCCAATCGCGACGAGTCAAGATTTTCCATGTAGTGGATGCTCTTATTTTTAATTTTTAATTTTTTTTTTTTTTTTTTTTTTTCGGGAAAGGCTCGGTTTTCGATTTATCTGTATTACCTATGGGATGGTTGCTGCTCACTGCCCTTGTCTTCCATGTTCCTATGTTTAAAGTATAACTGCCCTTTCATTCTTCCCTCGCCTTATTATGAGATATTACTATATATCCCAGCTTGCTTCCCGGGAGAGAGTCTCGAATCTGAATTTTCGTTCTCTTGTTCAGGCAACACAAGACGCAGACATGGAATTGCAGTTCCTGCAGAATATGTCGTTTTTACATATGGATAATACCAACGCTGATATATAGTAATAGTATATATAATAAATTAACCAACTGGAAAAGAACCTCTTCGCTAGCGAGATGTTTCCGTGGGAATGTTATCTCCTGCTGGTCGCTCCAGAGATAACAGTGTTTTAGGCATTGCTGGCAGGGAGGGAGTGGTATGGAGATTTTTCTCTCCCGATACCAAACACATAAAGTCGAGACCGGGTTGATTTGGTTTCGTTACTATGGTTATCAAACTATCGGATAAACCGCGTACATCGGCGGTTTATTTTTTTACTTTTGTTGATAAGTAACTAGCCAAAAAGCATTGACGTCACTTCCACACATATATATATATATGCCACTCAATTCAATCTGCAGATTACTACGCGGAGGAGAAATATATAACCTTTATTTGGAACTGGTATCATGGGCATGTGCTTGCTGCTTTCATGATATATACATACATATATATCGATCCACACGAGTGAGAGGGAGGATTCATCCTACTACACACACCCTCCATCGCTAGTTTATAGGTCACTCCGCTCTGTGCCATCAGGTCCGCGCTTCTGTTGGAAATACAATAAACACAGCAAAATGTACAATTCCAAATCCCTCCTCTTCTCTTAAGCAAGCCCGTAATATATAGCCTCCGCGATGGAACCAACCCCACGAACCCACACCACCACCCTAGCCGAACAGGAAAACATTCCTGCCAGCATGCCCGCCCTCTACCTGCCCCTCCCGCCCTCACACCCGTACACAATCACAAAACCCCCCTCGCCCTCCACCCTCCTCTACACCGCAACTCACCCCACCCCAACCCCTACCTCCTCGCAGTACCTGGTAAAAATCCAAACGACAGCCCTCTGCCGCGGCGAGCTCGGGTGGGCCGAAACCCTCTCCCCCGCATCCCATGCCTCCTCCTCCTCCTCCCCGCCCACCACCACAACGACAACCCAACCACAGCCCGACAACCCCGTGCCCCTCAAACGCATCCCGGGCCACGACATCAGCGGCATCGTCCTCTCCACCCCGCAGATCGACGAGCGGAGCATGGCGGGGCCCAAATTCAAAGTCGGCGACGAGGTGATTGGCCTGCTTGCGTTTGCGAGGGATGGCGGCGCGGCGGACGTCGCGGTCGCGCTCGAAGGGGAGCTGGCGTTTAAGCCGCGCAATGTCAGCGCGCTGCACGCGGCGTGTTTGCCGTTGAGTGCGCTGACGGCGTGGCAGGCTGTGTTTGAGCAGGCGGGGGTTAAGGGGTGGGTTCAGGATGGAAATGGGGATGGGGATGGGGATGGGGAGGAGTGGAGGAGGGATAAGGAGAGGGTGAGGAGGGTGCTTGTGTTGAATGCGAGTGGGGGTGTGGGGGTGATGGTTTGTCAATTGCTGAAGGCGCATATGTTGTTTGGGGATGGGGAAGGGAATGGGAGTGGAAGGTTTTGGGTTTGTGGGGTGTGTTCGGGGAGGAATGAGGAGTTTGTTAGGGATCAGTTGCGGGTTGATGAAGTTTTGGATTATACGAAGGAACGAGAAGGGTTGGGTGCGGCGTTTAGAAAACGCGGCTGGGCGCCGGTGGATTTTGTACTGGATTGTGTTGGGGGACAGACGCTGAAGCAGGCGTATGATGCCGCTGTTGTCAGGGATGGGGGGATTGTTGTTAGCGTTGCGCAGCCCGTTCCTGAGCAGGAGCCGGAGTGGGCGGATGTGAGGGATGCGATTGTGAAAAGGGGCTTAACGAGTCTGTTTTTCATTGTCAGGCCGGATGGGGAGCAGTTGGGGAAGATTGCGCTGTTGGTGGAAGGCGGGGAGCTGAAGTCGTTTGTGGAGAAGGAGATGGAGCTGTATCACGGGCGGGAAGCTATGGAGTTGGTGGAGAGCGGGAGAGTGAGGGGAAAGGTGGTTCTGAGGGTTAACAACTATGATAGATAGGGGTTCCGCAGTCCAATACATGGGACAGAGAGGCCGGGAACATTTCAGCGAGGAAAGACGGCTTCACGAATGGATGTATATCAGCTCAAGGGCATAGCTATGTATATGCGATATCATCAGGATGGGCTGCGTCGGAAATTGCACGGGGCTTGACAAAAGTAGATCAATAATGGCAATAATATAGTAAAAAAGGAAGGTTAAATACTAATATATCATTGAGCAGGGCCTGAGGATTGTGTCAGAAAGCATCATGGCAGGAAAACAACGAGATATAAAAAAGGTACAAACAAAAGCAAAGAAGTAGACGAAATAGAAAGGACCCGCTCCAGATATCAACCTAACCATTTAGCAGTGTTCGTAAATAGCTCATCTCGCCTCGGTCTCAACAGCTAGCTTAGCGTATAAAGAAATGATATCTCGACGTTTCGTCTAAATTAACGAGCATGGTAGAAAGCGTGGGAGGCGCGCAGCGAGGAAAACATAAAGGAATCTGATTAATAGATGCAAGCAATATTAAAGATAAATACTATTGAAAAGACGAAAACGAAGCCGGTATCGAAATGGGAAGTCATCAGGAGGTGATCGGGAGCGAGGGACTAGAGATGAATGCGAGAAAAGGAGAAAATAAAAAGATAATAGAAGCAAAAGCGAAGTGAAGAAGAAAGAAAATATGACTGAAAAGAGGAAAACTTCAGGAGGTAAGGTCTGTTTGGTTTCGACGAAAAAAAGTATCCGTCCTGCTTTTTACAGATTTTGGTGCGTTTCTTCTCCCTCGTTCCCTCCCACCAACCCATTTTTCATCATGTAAGCTTAAAACAAAATATGAAACGGCGTGAGCGTGGAAACTGATGTCGAATAGGTGGGAATATTGGAAAAGAGAACGCGGGTAGCTATATAACACAGAAACGGCTTTGAATGGGATGGGATTGATAGGTAGATGGATAGATCGCGGGTAGAGGAATAGTGAGGCCTTATCGAATATCCGGGGTTAAGGGAAAATAAAGCTTGGCAAAACGGTCGCGATCGCTTAGAGAAGGGAATCCAGTCGAGTAAATACATTCAAACACGCTGCTATCACCTATGCCGAATTGTCAAGTTAGTCCTAGGAACACCTCCAGACTCCGCAACTAGATAGAAACTATAGGGGTGTCTAACGGGGAGAGAATTTTTTTTTTTATTTTTATTTTTATTTTTATTTTTATTTTTTTTTTGACTTACCTCTAGTTGAAGTTCCTTATCCTTTGCCTTCTCCACCTCCTCATTGACCTCTTGGGCCAAATTTGCCCCAATCCCTTGCGAACCACCTGTCCGCCGCGCAAACGGCCATTGTGAATATTCAGAGAGCAGTTCATCAACCTGTGCAAAAGCCCTCTCCCGCGCCTCGTGGCCCATGGTCACCAGCGCGTTTTCAAGAACGTTAGCAGCATAAGCAGCACAAACCATTGTGATAGTGCGCAGGTATCTGAATTCAATATCTTCAGGGAAGAACTGGTTTGGTGTGAGAATGACGGTACGGCTGCTACAGATGTTGCGGACTCGTTTGTGGATTTCGTCCTTGGCGCCGGTATCTGCAACAGGATGGGTGGCCATGTCGAAGAGGAGAAAGTTACGTTTTTCGGTTCGGAGGATACCCTTGTCCACCAGCCCTTTTGCCAGCCGTTCTCTGACTTGCTTCAGTTGGTAGCCGATTTTCATAAGGTTCCAGGTTTCACCTATTAAAAATAGCTATTAGTATTTGTTTTCCCTTTTAAATCGCATTCATTCCCTTCCACTGATAGCTAATTCTTGGACATGATGGCTATTGGGATGTGAGTATAAGCCCGTACCGCTTAGTAGATCGATCCAGGAGCTGACGCTCATTTTCTCACTTGACTTCATCATCTTCAACGTCTCGTCCAGCAAGACTTCTCCAGTTAGCGAGTCGTCGATAACTTCGATTACCCGGTCGGCAAGGGGGAAGCGTCGTCTTGATGAATCCTTTTGCATGCTGATGCGGCCACGGAAAGCCAATTCGATAACGATGCATCCTCGTAGTGCGTATGAAATGTTCTCGTTCCAGAAGGAGAGATATCCCTAAGCAAAATCACAATAAAAGTCGTGATAGCAGCTCCATGGTCAGCTTCTACAGTCTACAACTACTAAAAAGATCCCCAATCGAACAGCGGAACCCCATTAAAGGAGTCGAGAGCCTTGGTATCTGGACAGAGACATTCCCCGAACAGACACAACGATACATACCTGCTTATCCTTCAGCCCCATCAACAACACCTCTTCCATCAATGTAAGTTTCGGCTGTTTATTCCTTTCATCACTCTCGCTGATATCCCGCGGATCGAAAGCGATTTTGTGCCCACCATTTTCGCCGCTGGAGGTGAACGATGTCTCCGGGGTGCGGCTGTCGAAGGTAGCCGAGCCATTTAAGGGGGATGGGGAGGCGACTCGACTGCTGCCATTGGTGCCGTTGATATCGTCTGTGTTGGAACGGGCAGCTCCGCGACGGCGTGTCAGACCACCGGCAGAAGCCATGGGAGAGCGGGAGTAGGTCGAGGGCAACGATTGGGTTCAAGAAAGGTGTTGCGTCCTTCGAGGAGCGTGCGGAGAGAGGCTGAGAAGCTAGAGAGGGAGAGAGTAAGGGAAACCTTAGAAGTTGAAGTTTGTGTGAAGCATAGGGCGTTTTGCGGGGATTGGGGATTCGGAGGCGATGTGGTGGTGGCTATTAATATGGAGGTGGTTAAGTTCTGTGAGGAGGTATTGAGGTGGTGAGATTGAGCCCCAGCAAAAATTGTATTTCAAGGAATGGGCCAAGTTGGCTTGGGATTTCCGGGGGTAACTTACCGAGAAGCAGTAGGTGATGAAAAGCACATCCAATCAATTGGGGTATGGTGTAGATATAGCAGTGGATGTAGCGGTGCAGTTGAGAGAGGAAATTCTGTTGTTCGGCCGCGAGAGACAGATAATGCTCAACGCCAGAAGTTTATCTGGGTCGCAAGGTTGCCTTGGGTCTTGGCGCATCCTTGCAGACATGAGATGGAGAATATTGAGTCCATTGGAATTATTTGATGCAGAGAATTGACACCATTGACATTATTATTATTACAATTTAATGTATTTACAGTCAATGACCTATTACCGTACCTACCAGAGCATTTTCAGGAGTTTTGTAGTAACCTGCTAAATCTAATATACAATTCCGTTGAGCAAAACATCTCGTCCCTGGAGTCGGTATTTCTCAAGCTGCTGCCTTTGCAATCTCTTTGGCGATAGACGCGTTTATGAGCAGGCTGTATATATGGTACATCGGTTTTGGCATGAGAGGAAATGAGTTTTCTTCTCCTCCGCTACCACTGATTCGGGAAGGCCAATACTGACACCAAAAGCTGCCGATACTTTTTGCTATTTTGCTATTTATATAATAGGGTGAGTGGTGGAGCCGTTTGCCTTTTCCTCTTTCCTTTTACATCAACTCTACATGAATAGATACACGCTCAGGGTTGACGGGGGCTCCTAGTCTGCTTCTAGTTTTGCACAGGAATTTACACATTGTGGAGGAAGAGGAGGGAAAAGAGATAGAATAAGAAAAAGAGAGATTGATGTACAGTACACGATATGACAAATGAAGAACGGGAACGGAAACGTAACGGGGCCCCCTTTAAATAAATCGAATCGCACGCACTCCTCCATTTGATATTACTTGCACACTCCCTTCCAACGCTGAGTGATAAGATGATGTATATATCCACTGCGCATCAACCATATCCAGAGTCCCCTTCATCTCACTCATCATCGGGGTCTAGTCTTTTAGTGGGCTGCAACGAAAATAGTGAGCGAAAGATCTATGCATTCTCCACTGGGTATACCATGTATATGTGTATAAAGAGTGTGATGGGGGGTTACATACCATCAGGTTGGGAGCTAATATAGGTAACAGCTTGGTCAACTATTGCTAGTTAGTAAACGTGAATGTTGATTTCGATTTTGTCGTGGGAATTTGGACAATATTATAGGCATATATCAAGCGGAAACATACTGCTATGGATGGCATCGGCTTCCTTATCTGGGATTTCGATGCTGAATTCCTGTTGTATTGGGCACAGGTCAGTCACATTACATACCATAACCATTGATATCATGCAAGTAATATATGTCGATGACTTACCTCCTCAATGGCCATCACGACCTCGACGGTATCCAAGCTGTCCAATCCCAAGTCATTCGAGAAGTGCGAGGTGCTAGTAATCTTCATACACCATCGACAATCGTAAGTATCTGATATCCATACCCCAACATCCACTGGGAGAAGCATGAATATTTCATTCATACCTTGGATGGATCCGAAACCTGAAGCACACGCATGAGTAAGTTGCCGCCATAGTATATAATATTGCAATAGAGAAAGAATCGAGGGGGGAAAGGCACCAAAATTTGATATCACATACCTTGTCAAAGTTCTTCAGCAAATCGACTATTCTGCCCTCAATCTCCGAGTGGGTTAGGCCAGCAGGCGAAGAATATGATCGGATGGCCTGGCAGGTGAAACATGAGGGGAATTGGGATTGGGTTGCACGGACGGCAGAGAGCGGGCTCCTGGGGATCTGGAAAGAGGCCGGAGAGGGTCTGGTGATTCGAGGTATGGAAGAGGCTGCGCGCAGCGACCGGGCAACAGCGGAACGGAACATGGTGGAAGGGGTGATATATATATAGGCTAATTAATGCGATGGCAGGTGGTGGCGCCAGATGAGTTGGATGCGAAGGCGAAGAGAGCAGAAAAAAAAGAGACTCGCGGGCTGGTGGTGAGCGATGTCAAATTGTTCTTCTCCGTGTTCGGATTTTGCATGCCAACACACCGCCAGCCAATCACGGGCCGGCAGAACACAATGACCGAAAAACATCAAAAACGGCCAGATGCGATTTGCACCTCCAATTACCACCGCACCGGCATCTAGCACCAAATCCAGCCGTCTGCTACCACAATGGCATCCTCCTCCAAGGCTGTCTCCAGGCTTCTTGCCTACAAACGGCCTGCCCTCATCCATATGTCCTCCCCGTCCTCCGCCCCCCAACGATCCACGAGCGTCAATGTCCTGATTCCTGCTTTCGCCTTTTCAACCTCCTCCCCTCGACCTGCTACCCCCGCTGGCCCTCCACGACAAGGCTTCCGCCTCCCGGCTCCCAAGGCTTGGGACCAGGGTGATGAATCCGCTCTCGACAAAGCCGGAAAATACTTCCTTATGACGGAGATGCTACGGGGCATGTATGTTGTATTGGAACAGTTTTTCAGACCACCGTGAGTATAACCCGCAATTATCATACATATCCTATCCTGATATATCTTCAATTTTCTGGGAGAGCTATGTATTGCATGGCTATTTGTCATGGATATCCAATTGACCCGATAAGCCGCAACGGACTTCATACTGAATACTAAATCTCCCGTAGTTATACCATTTTCTACCCGTTCGAAAAAGGCCCAATCTCCCCCAGATTCCGCGGCGAGCATGCGCTACGCCGATATCCTTCTGGCGAAGAGCGCTGTATTGCTTGCAAACTATGCGAGGCAATCTGCCCCGCTCTTGCCATCACAATCGAGGCCGAAGAACGAGAAGACGGAAGCAGACGAACCACCCGCTATGATATTGATATGACAAAATGTATCTACTGTGGCTTCTGCCAGGAAAGCTGTCCAGTCGACGCTATTGTTGAATGTGAGTATTTCCTTGCCTTTATCCTTTGTCCTCGGATGCGAGAAAAGATACCAAAGATGCATGTGCTTGAGGTTTCATATATAAGAAAATATATGTCGTAGAAAAACAGTGACAAATACATGGAGAAATCACGAAGGTCTATATTACAGTTAGCTAACAAAAAATCCAACCATTTTCACTCAAAACAGCCCCCAACGCCGAATATGCAACAGAAACAAGAGAGGAATTGCTGTACAATAAGGAGAAACTGCTCGCTAACGGCGACAAGTGGGAACCGGAATTGGCCGCAGTCGCGAGGGCTGATGCCCCCTATAGATAAACAGAAGAGCAGAAAGCAAGCGGGAGGAATGGGTTAGGAGGAAAGGGTTGGGTGATCAGACACACGCTGCAACCAATCGCCAAAACCCTGGGGCTATTGATCTAGGCTGATACGGGTGCAGAGCAAACACACACATACACAAAAAATTAACCACAGTTTCATTTTCCTAACTTTGCTTGTCAACAGTATCCTGCGATATCAATGTACTTGTACATATTATTTACAATCCACGCATTGTTTTCGTGCAAGGGTAGAGGCGGGCGGTAGGCGTGCCGTATCTTTCCCCCTCCTCTGTGGTTGCTTGCTTAATTGCTCTAAATATTCTACTAATTGTTCTACTGCCGCACTTTTCTTTCATACGCTATTACTATTCCATATTTTAGATATTTCACCGCTGTTATTATTTTCATACTGTATTATCTAACTAACGAAACCGAATTTTATTCGCTTCGGTCAAGAAGGAAGGAAAGCATTTGGAAAGAAGAGGATTCTGATTTGACAGAAAAAAAAAAAAAAAAAAAAAACTCCAAGGTATCTTATAAAAGTGGCACGGAATGAGTGTGAAACGGAAATGAGGAGGGAGAGACGAAGAAGGAAAAATGCAGAGCTCTTTATGCAATACAGAATATTCGGCCTTCTAGATGTAATAATTGCGAGTTGGAAGTCGGTTGAGGAGCAAACATAAAGAGAACCTAGGAAGCATCATAACGAATTCCACCTGTATCAACACCATTCCTCCAGATCAGGGGAACACTATGGCTTGGTATACCTTTGCTAGGTAGGCAATGACGGATACCAAATGAGAAGAGAAATCGACAACAAAAAATGGTTAAATTGATCGATGAAACTCCTCGCCATGAACGAAGACCTATAAAATACCGATTTACAGTTAAATCACAACAGAAGTGAAATATAAAATGGGTTAAGTAAAAACGGAGGTATATTAACATGTCCAAACCATCAAGATGAAGAAAATAAGTCCTCCTCGTCACTCCTCCATTACAAACCCCGAAGCAAATAAACAACAAACTTATTCACTTCTTCTTCGCCTTGAACCCGCCTTCAAACCCAGGCCGCTTCTTCGCACCAGTAGTCTTCTTGCCACCGCCTTTCTTTTTGGCCCCTTTGGCCCCCTTCTCCTCCCTCCTGTTCCGCAAATTCTCCTCCCTCTTCTTCTGCCTCATCTCCTTCCCTTTAATCACACCTTCAATCCGCTCCTTCCACTGTTTCTCACTCTTCTTCTTCGCCCCCGTCTTGCGATTCAAAGTCTTTCTCAACAGAGATATATCGTCCTTCACCCGCTCGCCATGTGCCCGCTTCTTCGCATTCAGCCACATATCCTTCTCTTCAATTTCGGCTCTTTTGGTCGCGTTCAGCCCCTCCAAGCGCGACTGTTTGGCCTCGAGCGCTTTCAGCGCCGTCTGCGCATCCTGCGGGCCTTTGCGCTTCTTTGCATTGATGAGCGTGCTTAGGCTGGGATCCGCCTGCTGGCCATCGGCGAACACGACACGGCCGAAAGACAAGTTGGTCGGGATCGACGAGATGGAGTCTGCTGGGGAGCGCGGGGAGGCAAGTAATGAACCGGAGCCGCGCGGGGAGAACCGTCGTGCAATGGCCTCGTCACGCTTCCTCTGCTCTTCCTCTCGCGCCTTTTGGCGGAGTTCCTTTTTGTGCGCTTTGCGCTGTTCTTCGCGCTGGCGTCTGGCTTCGATGAGTTCTTGGCGGTTGCGGGCAGGTTTGCCGTTGAAGCCGTCGGCATGGCGCGCGGCTCGTAGCTCTTCTATGCGCTTTTGCAATCGTTGCTTGAGCTCTTCGGGGGTTAGGCTTTTGGTTTTTTTGTTGGTGTCGTTTGAGGATTGTGTGACGGTTTCTGGCTTGGTTGTGGCGTCGGTGGTGACTACGGGCGGGGCAATGGAGGAAATGGAGGATGTTCCGGACGGTGGGTTGGAAGGATCAAATGGTTGTGAGTTGGGGCCTGGTGATGATGGAGCGGTGGATGCTGGCTCCCCATCCTCAGTGTTTTGCAGAGCGGAGAATCCTTCTATAGGAGCAATGTCTTCATCTACTTCGTCATCGTCGTCTATCTTGGGCGTTCCATTGAGCGTAGGCTCCTGGAGTTTTTGTTGCTTTTGGTGTTTTAAGGTATCCTCGTTCATATTCTCCTTGGTATCTCCTTGAGTGCTTGACTTAGCCGCCTTCTTCTTTTCCAGCTTGGCTGCTGTTTTCGATTTTTTCTGTTCCTTTTTCGCTGCTTTCTTTGCTGCTTTCTCTTCCTGCCGTTTCCTGCGAGCTTCTGCATCTTCACTTTTATCTTTGGTGTGGTCGCCTTCCGATTTCTCTGCTTTTCTCTGCTTTTTCGACTTATTTTGACCACGGATAAGGCCCTCCCTTGGTGTTTCTGTTCCTAGTTCCCCATTGCTATCATCACCATCGGAACCTGATAGTGCTTCATCATTTTCACCTTCTTCTCTCTTTCTCTTCCGGGCATTTTCATCCATTACGTCCTTTGCAGTTTTCAAGGTATCAGGGTCAAGCTTTGCACGTTTGGCATTTCGAGCTTCCTCCTTCGTTTGCTTCTTGCGCTGCCATTGATCCTATAGTTTAAAGAAAAGGGCATAGGGTAAGTGGATGTTCGCTTTCTGGGGTGGGATGGAAAAACATATCGAGATGCTCAGCAGCGCTTACAGTGGTATCTTCTCCATAGTAATATTTTGCAGGAATCAACGATAGCAATCCATCGAAAGCCTGTGCATGACTCCGCAGCCGTTCCTATATAGATAACAATATATAACCACCAGCATTAGCTTTCTAGCTGACACACAATATATAAAAATTTGAGGCTGGTAGAGCTTGATAAATCGACAGCGGACGCAGGCGAAAAAAAGTCAAAATCTCACCTCGAGACTGTCCGCCATGGCAATAACAAAGAGAATCCGACACAAGATGCCAAAGCAAGAACCCCTTCCTCTCTTGCTGACAGGTCGATTGTGAAGAAGAAGTCCAATCGACAACGCACTGGTCTCCAGGCTCTGCCATGAAAAGAATAATTTGCGAGGCCGCAGGATGTGGGGAAGAGCGAAATCTTGGCACGCTGATTTTCTCGGTTACGGCTTTTTTTTCCTGTGGAAGTGCTTAGCTAAGGCCGAGTCTTGGACGGTGCGATCATCGCATTGTGAAGAATTCTACGGTTGATATGTGGACATTCACTCTCCATATTGATCATCCATGCTCCTGGACTTTATGTACACTGAGGAACGGCGGCGTCTATGCTACTGCAGTGATTTTCTTCGCCGAAAATTGCCTTTCTGAGAACCCGTCGAAGTCAGCA